TGTTTTGCATATTCTGCAAATCAAACGAACATACATCTGCCGGATGTTTGAAATTTTCCGACGAACAAAAACGAAAGAAATTAAAACATGAAGGTCGCTGTTACAGATGCTTTCTGAGATCACATTTGCGGTCGTTTTGTCATTCAAAAATACAACCATGCGAAAATTGTAACGAAAAATCATAATAAACTTTTCTGCCGTTTGAAATCGAAAGAAATGGAAGATGTTAACTCCGCAGATACGCAAAATAAAACTTTAGTATCTACTTCCCACTGTAACACTCTAAAACCTGAAAATAGTGTGCTTTTACAGACATGTTCTGTTATTGCTCAAAGCAAAAATAAATCGAGAATCGTAAGATTATTAATTGATTCAGGTAGTGAACGAAACTTCATCACCCACAAGTTAGCGCGCGATTTAGAATTGCAAGTCATTAGAAAAGAATTTCTAACAATTTATTCGTTTGGAAATCAGCGCGGTAACTCGCAAGAATTTGATGTATATAGTCTAAAAATAAAAAATAAAAACGATGATCGCTGCCTTGTTGTAGAAGCTATAGGGATAGAATTAATATCATCAATAGAATTCCAGGCGCCATCAACATGTCAAAACATTAAAGAATTTATGACTAAAAAGGGTTTGGAACTTTCGGATACAAGTCCCGTTAATGAGAACATAAATATTCTGCTTGGCGCGGAGCATTTCTGGTATATACAAACAGGAAGTAATTCAATGATAAATGATGGTTTGTTTTTATAGTACCGACCATATTTGGATACACAGTGATGGGTAAAGTAAAAAATAATAATACTCGAATTAATGCGTTGTTTTTATCTGCCGTTGAAGGAAACACATTTGATTTGCAGTCATTTTGGAAATTGGATTCGATAGGAATTGAAAATGAAAACAAAACATTTTCGGAAACTGATTTGGATACTATTAAGCATTTTAACGACAGTTTAAAATTTAATAACGGCAGGTACGAAACAAAACTCTTTTGGAAGGACAATAAATCACAACTCGCTGATAATTTTTTCGTTGCTAAACAACGATTTCTAGGACTTAAAGCATAAATTAAAGGGAAATGATTTCCTATATAATGAATATGATAATATAATTAGAGAACAAGTTGAAAGGGGGATTGTTGAACAATGTAAGTTTGTTGAAAATGAACCTAACTGTTATTATATGCCTCATAGGCCCGTTATACGTGAAGGAAAAGTAACAACAAGAATAAGAATAGTTTATGATGCCTCTTCTAAGTCTGAAGGAGCTAAATCGTTAAATGAATGTTTGATATCAGGCCCTAATTTAAATCCTAACTTGTTGGATATAATTTTAAAATTTCGCGTACATAAAGTTGCATTTTGTGCAGACATAGAGAGAAGGCTTTTTCACCAAATTCAAATTGATAGTGAAGATAGAAATTTTTTAAGGTTCTTGTGGTTTGATCATTCTTACGACAATAGTGACAATAGTTTAGGCTTTAAGGTTTTCCGAATGTGTGCCGAGTGCCGTTTGGAATGACAACAAGTCCGTTTATTTTGTCCGCCACTATCAAACATCATATTAAGGGTTATGAAAAGAAATATAGCAAAGCTGTTGACATGTTAAATAAGTCCTTATATGTTGATGACCTTATCCATGGAGCAGACTCCGTTGAAGAAGTTTTCTCATTATCAACTGATGCAGTTAAAATTCTTCAAGACGCTGGTATGAACTTAAGAAAATTTGAATCAAATTCCGTATCTTTAAAAAATCATTGGCAAGATATTGGTTTAATTAATAAGGAAGATAATTTGGATAAGAAAACGTTAAAGGTGCTGGGAATAATTTGGGATTTGGATGAGGACACATTGAAATTAGATGTACAAGAACTTTTACAACCAGTTGACTGGAAACACGTTACAAAGCGAAAGGTATTACAGATTGTGGCAAAAATTTATGACCCAGTTGGATTCATTGCACCCTTTGTTATCAGAATAAAATTCTTATTACAAGAGTTATGGGAATTGGGTATTGATTGGGACACAATTTTGCCCAGTTATTTGAGTGAAAAATTTAAAACTTGGTACTTTGAAATTGAAGTTATTCTCAACTTGTGTATTCCTAGAAAATACATATTAAATGATGAATGTGTAAATTTCGATAAAATAGAGCTTTTTTGTCTTTTGTGACGCCAGCCTCAAGGGATATGGAGCTGTTGCATATTTTCGTGATCCTGATTCTTGCTGTACGTCTTTTGTTCTTTCAAAGAGCCGTGTATCCCCACTTAAAAAATTAACCTTGCCTCGTTTAGAACTTATGGGAGCCATTATTGCCGCAAGAATAGTTAAATATTTAAGGAAATTATTTAATATCCAAGAAGATAATGTATTTTGTTTTAGTGACTCTAAAATTGTTCTTCTTCACTGGATCAGGGGTACCGCTGATAAATGGAAACCCTTTGTTGCTAATCGTGTACGTGAAATACAAGATGTTGTATCACCTTCGCAATGGAAATACTGTAAGGGAAATGACAATCCGGCTGACATAGTTTCACGTGGATTAAGAGCTTCTGATCTAGTGGAAAATAAACTTTGGTTCAATGGACCAGTGTGGTTAAAAGAGAAAAATGTACCTTCATCATCTTTTGATCCTTTGATCGAGCCTATGGTGGAAGAGGTACAGGTAGAACAGCGTCAAACTACTGTATGTTCTGTTATTAGCCAAGAGGCTGAATTTGAATTGACATCCAGGTTTTCATCCTGGAAAAAATTGAAACGCGTAACTGCATGGTGTTTAAGATTCTGCCACAATATTAAACCTACATCTTTAAAACTCAAGGGTTTTTTAACAGTTCAAGAATTGGATAAGGCAAGCAATTTGATTTTTAAAATCATGCAAAATTCCGAATTTAGAGAAGAAATTAGACTTTTGAAAGCAGGGAAGAAATTGAATCTCAGCAGTAAAATCCTGAAATTAAATCCTTTTCTTGATAGAGAAGAAATCCTTAGAGTCGGTGGTAGACTCTGTAACTCGAATCTTTCAGAAAACACAAAGTATCCAATCATTCTTCCCAAAAGTCACCAAGTTACTGAATTGATAGTCAAACACTTTCACGAAGTGAACCTTCACGGAGGAGCCACATTAACATTATCTGCTCTGCGACAGAAATATTGGATCGTTAATGGCCGAGAAATTGTAAGAAAAATAATTTGGAAATGTATAAAATGTTTTAAAAATCGAACAAGCACATCCAGTCAGATAATGGGCGACCTACCTGCTTCTCGCGTATTGCCGGATAGAACATTCTCGAATACAGGACTAGATTTTGCAGGCCCCTTTTTAATTAAAGCTAGGAAAGGAAGAGGAGGAACGAGATATAAATGTTACGTTTGCCTTTACGTATGCTTCACCACAAAGGCCCAGTGATCTAACAACTGAAGCATTCCTAGCATCTCTGAAAAGATTTGTGTCACGCAGAGGAAAACCCAAGAAAATCTTTTCCAATAGAGGCACCAACTTTGTTGGGGCTGATCGAGAATTAAGAAGATACATCGCTACACTTTCCTCTGACGAAGCATTTCAAAACTACCTGAACGGTGAAAAAATTCAATGGATCTTCAATCCTCCTGCTGCCCCTCACTTTGGAGGCCTTTGGGAGGCTGGAGTGAAACAAATGAAGATTCACTTAAAGCGGACTATTGGGACCCAGGTTCTGACATACGAAGAATTTCACACCTTAATTACACACAGATCGAGGCGTGTTTGAATTCCAAGGCCAATAGTTTCCATCTCATCTGACCCTGAAGATTTTAATCCTTTAACACCTGGACATTTCCTAATTGGGACTACATTAACAGCAATTCCTGAACCTGATCTTACAAAATAATAAGCTAACCCCTGCTGAAAGATGGAAATTGACACAGCAAATTTTCCAGAGCTTTTGGAAACGTTGGTCTAGAGATTATCTTTCACAATTACAAGGGCGTACCAAATGGTTGAGGGATAAACCAAATTTAGCCCTCAATGACTTAGTCTTGATAAAGGACGAAAATTTGCCTCCATTAAAGTGGCGACTTGGACGAGTAATTGAACTATATCCTGGTGCTGATGGAAAAGTTCGTGTGTTGTGAAACTAAAAACTTTATTGGGCGAAATGAAGCGTCCTATACATAAACTTTCCCTTTCCCGCTTACCATTGAGTGAATAAGACTCTAAAAAAAAAAAAAAAAAAAACATTAATTGTATATTCATAATTTGTGTCTTTATTATTATTATTAATTCAATTATGTTTCAGATTCAGAGAATGGACCACAATTGTGGATTATGGTAATTTAGCAGTTTCATTATTTTGTTTTCCTTCTAGAGATTGTAAGTATGTTTTATTTGTAAAATTTTGTGCTAAATTTAATGTTGTTAATTTTGTGCATTTTTATTTTTATATGATATACTGTTGAACTTTTGGAAACTACTTGTTTAAATCTAAAATTGAAGATCTTTATAATAATGTTGTAATGAACCAATGTTCATCGGGGCGGAGTATGTTCCGTCTTTTTGGTAGATAGGTGGCGCTCTTGATGCGCGCCGATGAAAAATATTCACTTGACGCTTGAACATGAAGAATGACGCATGTCATATTTAGTTGATGCTTGATTATGTTTCATGGCAGCTATAGGCGGAAGTAATATAAGTTTATCGTTAATAAATGTTATTTCTATGTTCTGTGAACTCTTGAAATTTTGATTTGAAATTCTAATGCTCTCCCAACCTTGACTCCTGAAACGAAACGATCTTTGAATTTATGACTCATGAAGAGAGACAACAATATATATATAAGAAATATATATATTATATATATATTTTAGTGTGGGTGAGAATGCTGGATTCATTTATTTTATTGTTATTTTTTTAATAACATTTTATTACACTCTACATTCTTTTAAAACTTAATGGCACATTCTCTAATATATTTCTCTTATAATGAAGCTGTAATAAATATTTTGTTGCTGTTTCAGGAATTTTTATCTTCATCAAAACCGAAATCGTTAACCATACCTGATGATAATTCTTCACCAGAATCGGCATCATCAGACTCATCTAATCCAATAAACAAAGACCTAATTAAAGAGCAACATCAAGCTTTAGTGAAAAAACTAGCCCATCATGTTATATATGGTATGTATTATAAGTGATACTGTTAATATTGATTTGATGCTTTTACAGCAGTATTACTATATGTAAGTATTACTGAAAATAGTTTTTATTGAAGAGAAGTTAAATTTCATTAACAGAATAGCATTGTAATTTATATTTTTCAGTCAGTCAAAATATTAAACTTGAAATTCTACTTCTTGTACATATGTATTTTACTTTAGTATAGTTCCCTAGTTAGAGCAAAGTGCCATTAATTTTTCTTTTATATCAGTATTGTGTGAGGTTGAATACTTGATGTTTTATAGAAATTCAATAGTTAATGGTGTGTAGTACTATGCATTCATTTTACTGTACAAACACATGCAAAGTTGTTCTGGAATCTGCTATTAGTTCTTCACATTTGTTGTAACTTTTGAAATACACTTTGCTTATATTTATAATTTGCGATTTTGTAAAAGTTAAAATTTTCAACTCATTTGACAGCAGTAGTTAGTCAAGATTATTTGCTCATAAAGATTTGGCTCTAAGTTTTATTTTCATGCCTAGCTGTAAGGAGTTAGAAATCAGTTTAAGTAATAGTGCCTGGTATAATAAATTGTTTGCATTATTGATTTTCAGTTTGTTTAAAAAAATATTTCATATGAAGTTGGTACTAAATGCTTTTTAATTAAAGCACTGTCGCTGATCACAAAAGCAGGAACTTTTGTCATCCAGCTGCTTCTCAGATTTCATATAAAAGGTCTTGAATTTAAATTGGTAAAAAGCATGGGAAAATTATCTAATTCAGTAAATTCATTCTTGAATGTGAATTTTATGCATAAAGCTACATATTTTTCCTCCTCAATTCTTTATAATATAATGTGTATTTTATTAGTTGAAATTTTTGCTTTATGAAGACTGCTGGAATAAGTGTTTCATTTATGCTGAACAGCTCTGTGAGTAAAACATATTTACTACTGCCAGTATGGTGTATATGCATATTAATAGGTCTTACAAAGTTTTTACATTCATGAACTGCAAAATGAAAGATATATATTTTGACATATACTGTGTAACAAAAACCATTTTTTTATCAATAAGTAATTAATTTCTGTATGTGTATCAAGATTTGTGGATATCTTTGTTAGCCCTTTAACTGTCAAGTTATTTTGATGATTTGGGTACACAAATTGTCAAATTTTTTTATTGGAAAAACCAAATGTAGCTGAAATAAACATCTCCCGATATATATTCGGGTATGACAATACGATGCACTCAAAAAAAAAAAAAAAAAAAAAAAAAAAAAATTACCCCGAGAAATACTTGGGCGTGACATTTTCGAACACCAGTGCTGTACCCGAGATAATCTCGAGCATGACAGTTAAAAGGTTAGCAAATCACTGCTCAGTGTTGATAAAAATATGTTCTGGAAATACACTTAAAAGTAAAACCATTTTCTGTCTGCTCAGGTGCCTTATTGATCTTCAGTCACTTTCTTAAAGGTCATAAGTTACATTGTTGCCACCATAACTTTTATATAGCATCAAGCATGTCAGTATAATGTGTTGATAAATACATTCTTCTAAGCGTTGAGGACATATTTTAAGCATGAAATAAGTCCACATTAGAAGATCTCAAACTTGCAGTAATAAGAACTGACAATATAGACAGTATGACATATATACAATATAGACTGACTGACAATATGACAATATAGACAATACTCTGTTTACATTCATGAGAATATTTTTTATCTTAATATTATTGTGGAGTGATTTAAAACACAACTTTAGATTGAAAATATTTACATGATATTTTTATTTGTAATGCAATACAATTTTACCATTGACAGTTTAAAAATGATGCTTATATTTTGTATTTTCATCAATTACTATATTTCTGAGTAACTTTATTTAATTATTTTTGTTAATCAAAACAATTATTATTTTACTTTTCAGATGCTACGTTTTCTACATCTTTAATGAGCACTCATCTATTGGCATTTCTCTTTGTCACTCGCTACCGAAAGGTCAGGTATCGTTTTTTAACAATATACATTGCCTAAAATTCCAAATAAAAGAATAGCTTTTGTATTTATGAAGAAGATGTACAAACTACTTCAAAATCTTTGAAAAAATGTTTTGAAGAGAATTTAAAGAAGAATCAAAGAATTTAAAGTTGAAATATTTCATGTAGTTGCAGCACACCTGTGGATTACAGATGATTAAAATGTCTTGACATTTTAAAAATTAGTGATGAAGAAAAATTAATTGTACCTTTAAAACCAGGAGAAACCAATATCATGTTACTAATGATGAATTGTTCAGCATGCTATTTAAAACTCACACTAGAATAGGGCACGGAGGAAGAACACATATTCTTAAAGATTTCCAAGGTAAATACAAAAATATTACATATGAAGTTGTAAAGTTAGATTTAAATTTATGTAAACAATGTCAAATAAAGCATAGTGAACTTAAGGAGGTGTTGTTGTGAAAGTAATGGTCAGTTCTGAGTTAAACTCAAGATGTCAGGTTGATCTGATAGACTTGTAGTCACACAGGGATGGCAAATATAAGTTCATAATGGTGTATTAAGATCGTTTAACTAAGTTTGTCCAGCTATGACTATTGAAAACTAAGACCGCTGAAGAAGTAGTGTATCATCATCTTCAAATATTTTTAACGTTTGATGCGGCAGCTATATTGCATTCATATAATGGTAGGGAATTCAATAATCAAGTTGTATCTGAACTATGCACTATGTGGGAAAATGCTAAGATAGTTCATGGAAAACCTTGTCATAGTCAAATACAAGGCTCAGTTGAAAGGGCTAACCAGAATATACCGAATATGTTAACTGCATTGATGTTATTTTCATAAGTCATTTCATTTCCTCATTGTGTTATTGGAGAGAGACTTAATTTTGCTGTTATTTATAACATATATGAGATGCCAATATTTTCATTGCAGGAACTGTTAACTTTTCCTAAAGTGAATATCCACATACAAATGCGGATATTCACTTTTAGGAATTAATTAAGATATTTCATAGGAAGCCATAACTAGATTTAATCTGTTTACTGCTATTAATTCTTTCTTCTTATTTATAAAGAAATCTGTTGGCTTCTTGTTACAAATAGGCAGATCTTAATCATGCCTATTTATAATTTAAAAAATTAAAGTATAGATCTTTAGAAGAAGAATATTAACATTGTTGATAGCAATTGATAGTTGTAGACTGTATATTAATTCATAAAAGTCAAGTTGAGAAACTTGACATTTATTTTCTTTCAGGCACAATAATGCCGCTTAAACGGGCAAAGAGTGAGTAAGGAACAATTAACAACTGACTGCCGCTTTGCTTGGGCAGAGGAACGGAGACTCGGTGTGGACCGAGTGCATCCCTATCGCTACTGATTAGTACTGGGCTCTCGCCACTGACCTTACGTAGCACTGCAAATGTTAAGCCAGTACAAATACACAGAAATATTCTAACTGAGATGGAACATTCTGCCCAGAATTGAAATTTGATACAAAAATTTCAATTAATTAATTAGTGACAAATTACAATATTTCAAAATTGATAATCACATAAATAATTGTCAGATTACTATAGATCTAAACTTGAAGTATGGAGTTTAAGAGCATTAAATATTGAAAACATTAATTATGCAAGCAATATATAAGTTGACATAAAAAGTGTTATACATACATTTCAAAATAAGCCATACAAATCCTTTAAATATATAATCATTATTAAGTTCTTGTAATGTATAAACTGATTCCACAAATATATTATAAAGTCAGTAGAAACTTGAATATTACATTGGCAATAAACAGATCTTTGATATAGATCTAGTGCAGATTCCTGAAGCAGTTTTAACTTAAGCTACACGTAACTTACTATCTGTACCAGGGATTGTCTTTAAAATTCTACCTAAGGTTCAATGGCAAGGAGGCAAATTCTCATCCTTAAGTAAAACCATTGCACCTGTTTCTACATTGGATTTCTGAAACTGCCATTTATTGCTCTGTTGCAAGTGATTGAGGTAATCTGTCTGCCAACGCTTCCATATTATTTGAACAAATTTTGTTGTCCGCTGCCACCTTGATAACCTATTATCAGTAATTTCAATAAGTTCAGGCTCTGGTAAGATGTGATTGGATGGCCGACTAAAAAATGCCCTGGTGTTAAAGCTTCAAACTCATTAATATCATTAGACATAGGAATTAACGGGTGTGAATTTAAAATTCCTTCAAACTGAGTAATGATTGTAAGAAATTCTTCTATAGTAACCTTAGTACATCCCATAGTTCTTCTAAGATGGTACTTAAAGGATTTAACTCCCACTTCCCACAGTCCACCAAAATTCGGTGATCTAGGGGGAATTAATTTCCAGACTATAGATTCTGAGGTGAAATAGCTGGATAACGCCTCATCTGGTTTTCTAATCAATTTCTGTAAATGCTTTTAACTTTGTATGAGCCCCCTTAAAATTTGTGGCATTATCTGTAATGATGGAAGAGATTTTCCCTCTTCTAACACAAAATCACTCAAAAGCTGCTATAAAGGCTTCAGATGTCAAGTCTGTTACTATTTCCAAGTGGATTGCCTTTGTGGATAAACATATAAATACAGCAACATAGATTTAAAAAAATTCCTTGCATTGACCCTTGAATTGTGCATGAAATGGTCCGCAAAAGTCAACGCCACAATTAAGAAAAGGGTGAAGTCGGAGTTATACGTTCAGTGGGAAGATTACCCATGAGTTGATTTGCTGCAATTGGTTTGTTTTTAAATCGCACAAGCATGAATTATCTTACGAGCCAAGCCCTTGCAATGAATGAGCCAATATTTCAAACGCACCTGATGAAGTAAACCCTGTGCTCCAATATGTAGGTACATCTTATGAAAATATTCAAAAATCAATACAGTAACTCTATGAGTAGGAGGCAAAATTAACTGGTGTTTACAATCAAATAATAAGTTTGAGTTTTTTAATCTTCCTCCAACTCTTAAAAGAGAATTCTCATCTAGAAAAGGGTCAAGAATTTTTAACTTACTTTGTCCAGGAATAGGTTTGCCTCACTGAAAAGCTGTAATTTCCGAATTAAAGGCAGTTAATTGGGCATGCCGTATAAGAAACTCCTCAGCTTTTTTCATTTCATCTAGAGTTAACTATCCCTGCATCTTATCCTGCGATTTACAATTTAAGATAAACCTAAAAATAAAATGAGAATTCTGATTAGTTTATGAAAATTATTGGAAAATTTCAAAAAAAGAGTCTATAAAATGTTCATTCATTGTCAAAGTCAGAACTGGATTCGATGATTGTTTCAGTTCTTTCTCATACTCTTCGTTTGAAGAATAAAAAATGCATTCTGAAATTGGGAGTTGTTGACTGAAGAACTCAGAACCTGACCACCACAAATTGAATTTGAATTAGCCAAAAGTTCCCATGAATGATTTGACTCCCAACTGAGCTTGTAGGCAACATAGTAGATCACACTACAATAAACATCATTGATACTTAGTTGCAGCACTTTTATCACCTTTGTCCTGGAGCCCCAGTGATCTATCCTCTTTTCCGTCTCCTCTCCTCTTTGCTGGAACTTTTTCCCTTCTCTTCTCCCTCGTGGTTTCTCTCTACGGAGTTTGGGGCTCGTCACGAGAGACTGGAACAGCCCTTGTCTCTAGTCTTCAAGTGGCGAGAAAACTGCCCACGTGTTTGCCGTGCGTGGAGACCCATGTCGCTGGAAAGGAGGGTCCTGGTAGTTGAGGGGCGAGGTACTGTCCCCAACACACTACTTTGGCCTCTGCTTCACAACTGGCACCGGTCCTCAGTCAGCGGCTTAGTCGTCCTCACGGGTGTCAATCGGCTGGGTCTAGTCCTTGGGTGTCAGTGGTCCGGGGTCAAGCTCTCGGGAAAGCCGACTGTGGGGCTTCAGTTTGCGTATAGGTCCGGCTAGCCCTAACACAGGAATCTGTGTTCCCTTGTTGGGCTCCGTGGTGGGCGGGGCCGTCGGACCCGAATCTTTATTCTTTCACTATGGCTTCTTCTCATATCTACTTAATTAAAGATTTCGAGGTAACTCCAGTCATTCAAACTAGTTCTGAAACGTCTACAGCTAAACCAGTCACTCAACCTAGTTCTGAAACATCTACTGCTAAACCAGTCACTCAACCTAGCTCTGAACATCTACTAATAAACCAATCATTCAACCTAGTTCTGAAACGTCTACTACTAAACCAGTCACTCAACCTAGTTCTGAAAATTCTGCAAAAAAATTACGGACAGATGCAAATAAAAAAATCATAACAATAGTCCCCGTTTCCTAGTCATCTCTAGTCCTTCTGGCGAAATGCATAAGATGTCTCCTTTCGTAATAAACAAATACATCCAGTCTTGTATTGGTGAGCCGAGAAACATAAAGCGTCTCCGCTCCGGAGACTTGCTTATTGATACAAACTCAGCCACCCAGTCTGCTTCTTTACTTCAGATTACTCAACTTGGGCAAGCCAATGTCACTGTAACACCCCATAAGTCACTGAACTATTGTCGTGGTGTAATCTCAGAATTCGACCTTCTGTATGTTTCTGAAGAAGAGATCGCTTCTGAGTTATCCGAACAAAATGTCTGCGGTGTAAGGCGGATCAAGATGCGTAAGGAAGGAAGGTAAGTTGATCGATACGAAACACGTGATCCTTACCTTCAACACGCCTGATCTGCCTAAGAATATTAAGGCCGGATATCTAAATATTCCTGTAAGACCTTATATTCCAAACCCTATGCGATGTTTCCAATGCCAGCGTTTCGGCCATTCTAAGACGTCTTGTCGTGGCAGCCTCACATGCGCCCGATGCTCACAGATTGGCCACGATTCTGAAAATTGTACCGCTGCGCCTTTGTGTATAAATTGCAAGGGTGAGCACCCAGCATTTTCACTCGCCTTGTGCCCAAAATGGAAATCGGAAAAAGAAGTCCAGACTGCAAAAGTTACTAGGAACATCTCATATGCCGAAGCC